GTTCCTTAGCAGCAACCCAGGCAGGTAGGCTGCGCTTCCGATGACGAGAGCTTTCGGAACAGGACCGAGAGCCAACACAAGGTCATCCTCCTGGTGCGATTTGGTGGTCTCTCAAAATAAGGGGACCCCAATGTAGACCCCAAAATCCTGTACCCCTGATTGATAAGGACCCCAACAAGATACCCCTGATCTTGGGAAACCCCTAGGTCAACCCTGAGGCTCAAAGCCCTACTAAAAGATATTCTACAGCCATAGACCTCGAGACCTTGACTGATCTAAGGTTATTACCATGGACCCCTAGCATGGGCCCTCAGCCTGGGATCCTTGTATACCTACTATATACCCTTTTAGTACCCTTAGAACCGATCTGGGTCTTTCTCAAAAAGGGGTCCGCGGTACCTCCTGCATCCATCATGACAAGTTTTGCAGAGTTCTCAGGGCTTGAATGTGCTCGTCGAAGTGCGCTGTAGTAGTCACCCTATTGTCTAGCTGTACAAAAGCTGATTTATCTTACTTCTTAGTATGGAATAAGGGAATACTATCCCTGTATGATATATTCCAATATTCCCTACTAACCCCAAACTCTGTGCAAGGATGACACGCGCAAATCAAGAAGTGTACCAACAAAAAGAAGGCAAAACCCTCTCTCTCTCTCTCTATCTCTCTCTCTCTCTCTATCTCTCTCTCTCTCTCGCTCTCTCTCCCTCCCTCCCATATATACACACATATTATTTACCATATCCCCCATGAAGAACCAGTAAGATAGGTTTTGGCAAGGTGGAGCTGACAAGAATCTTGAACTACGCGGGCTTAGGGGGAGACAAGGTTGAGGGCTTAAGGTGACATCTATTCCAACGAGTTCAAGTCCTTCTAGTAGGGACCCCTCAGAGAGGGAGTCTTGCTTCGTGGAGATACCTTCATAGAACCCTATGTACGCATAAATGCGTACGATGATGTTCCCCCTGTATTTTGGTAAATTTTCTATATCGGGGGGGTCCCTTGACTTATCAAAAAAGCAATCTACACTGTTTCGTCCCAACGGTGCCGTTTCGAAACAGAGGTTCAGATACTGAACCCTCATACCTTGGAATCATCCAGCCGTTTAACTCTTAAACCATCGAGCCATTCAAGAATCATACCCAAGGTTTTTCCCATATGGAAACCTGTTAAACCATGAAACCGATACTCCTCCGACATGTGCCCAAGACGATTGGTTTAGTGGTCTGATGCATTAATGGATTAATGGTTTAATACGTTCGTGGATTAGTGGTTTCGAGGCCTGAGGGTTTGTATAGAAAGGTAAAGAATGTGCAATGAATGTTGCTCCTTGTATTGCTTTTACTGGCAGTCTTTCTTAGGGAGAAAGCTAATTCTAGAGGATGCCAACTTTAGCCTTTGAGGATGTGATGAACCATGAATTAGGAACAGTCATTTGAGTAGTATTTTTGTTGGGGATGGGTACCCAATATAGAGTAAGATTACATCCTCCTTCTGGGGTATAGTCTTTTACATAAGGAATATTATCTTGCTAGGTTCAACCACCAAAAACAAACGCTACTCATTTGGGGTTTTGGGTTCAGGGTTGAGGTCATTTAGGGTGTAGGGTTATAAGGGATAATCCGGAGGTTTTCAATGTTGGAAGATCTTTGAAAGGGCAAGACCACTTTTCAAAAAAGGGGAAGATGACGTCTGAAGGGCACCAGCTAGGGGATGATGAGGATCAGGGCGAGGAAGCAGGCAAAATGACGAGTTTATATGATTCCCTGGTTTTTATAAAGAACATATGTCACAACGGGGCCAAGGGCAGCTCCTCCTTGAACTAGGGCCTTCCTTTGCTTTCTAAGTTCTATTGTCGCTGTATGGTTTTTATCAGGGCTTCTATTTATAGAACAGAACCCAAAGGGAATGTGATTTGGATTCGGAGTTTCCTTGGTTTGCTGGGTTATCCTTCGTTCCAGAAGGCCGTTTTAAGAATTGATCAAAGAACAGGAAATCTGACTAAAATTGAGGGTTCCTTTAGCCTTATTAGAAGAGGTTTGATTTTGTACTAGAACCGCAATAATCAAAGCCCTCGTTCTTAGGGGAAGGAAGGGCTTGCGCATACTGGTAGCTGTAGTTTGTTGCTGAGCCATGCGGCTTGCTGGGAAATATTGAGAACATACGAAATATATAGGTAAACTAAGTACATTAACTTATGGGAAACTTTGCACACATTATACGTATATATAAAAGTACTTTCAGACCATTTGGAATGCTTAGGATATTGAGCATGAGGTAGATTGTGATAGTATTCATTCGTCAAAAACTTGTATCGTCGGAACCTTGAAAAGACCAAGATCAAGACGCATCAGAACTGAAGATCTAAAGACTATAGGACAAAAAGACGGGTAGGAAATGCAAAGAAGATAATAATATGACACAACTCAGAACGCCGAGGATACCGGGGAATTCAGGACCATGGAAAATCAGGAGTATGGTGCATGTTGCTTTCTTGTGACAACAAGGCAAAGCATTCGAGCAAACAAGAAAAATCGTGTACATTTCCGAGGAACTGTAGTCGTATCAACAATCGTCGCAGTGTTTCAAACACTTGGAAATGTTGTGCTTATGAGGCATATGGGGACTCTGAAGCAGGAGGGCGTTTTGAAACACTGTTGTCAGACCATGCAACCAATTAACCAATGGTTTGGGCTCAAGTGGGAGGAGTATTGGATCAATGGTTGCATGAGCTTGCATATGGCCTTAGGGCTAAGGGTTTAGAGGATTCGAAGTTTCGAAACATTTGGAACCATTAAGCCATTAAGCTTGTAATCCAGTAAGCCATGTATCCATCAGGCCATTAAACAAATGGTTTTGGGCCCATGCTGGGGAGGAACGGTTCATTGGCTCAATGGTTTGCATATGGAAGAAACATTGGTTGAATAGCTTAAGAAGTTGAACGGTTGAAGGGATTAACGGTTTAATCCTTTAATGGTTATAACATCTAAGGGTTAGTATCTGAAAATTTGCTTGGAAACAGTAAGGGGGCCTAGGATTCTGCGAATCAAAGGCAACGAAATGAGGTGGATACCCTCTCATCCAGTTATTTGCATATGTATTTACATTTACGACGGCGGCGGCGGCGACAATGACTACTACTACTACTACTACTACCACTACCACTACCACTACCACTACCACTACCACCAATACTACTACTACTACTACTACTACTACTACGGTCCTACCTTTCTACCTGCCCCTATATGACCTCTACAAGCCCAGTTGAAGGCATCTAAACCTTGCAGGATGCATGCGGGCTTGGAGCTTCGCACAACGACCCAGCAGTACACGTGGATGCGCTGGGAGGGCAACTGGGTTGCTGTTAAGGACCTTAAATTAAGTCACCCCCTTATGAGTTTTTAGCAAATAAGAGTGCTACCTGATTAACCCTGAATCCTAAACCCTTTGTTGTCTCTAGACTGTCATGCTTTGAGTGGAGGTTGAGTGACGTAGCCTGCTTGCTCCTTGGTAGCCTACTGATTGACCTGTACTGACCCCTGGTCAAGAGTATTGGGGACTTGACTGGATTTCTTTTGCCGTGCCTGCACTGCTGTGCGATGCGCGTGTCTAAACCCCAAAAGAGTTGTAAAAAAACCTAAACCAGGCGCTGCAACAAAAACTAGACCGTATATACCCCCATTCTAGTGGCTTAGGTTCAATTCTGAACAGCAACCCAGGCAAGCCCAGAGCCGTGCTGCTCGTGGCGAAACAAGGCCTTAGGAGAGATTGGGGGCCCCTTCAAAGGGCATACGGGGTTTTAGGGTTTAGGGTCTTGGGGGTGTAGAGTTTTACGGGTTTGGGGGTTTAAGTTTAGGGGTCAGTCGCTTAAGTCCGAGTTACAACAAGGGTTCAGGGGTATAGTCTAAGAATTAGGGATCTCGATTCTACCCCAAAAATCAGAATCAAATGGATGGGTTGTGGTTCAAATAAGGATCAGGGTTTCCTAAAAGTAGGGGCTGCTGGAGTTTCTATACACAGGAGTATGCTGTTTTGAAAAATCAAGGGGGAACACCTGTTCTCGGCAAGATCCAGAATTTTCAGGCTACAGGTGCTTAAGCGGCAATCTGCCTCGAGTATGCATCATGTTCCCTACATGGGCCGGCATAAGTGTTTCCAGACATTGAGGGTACCTTATGGGGGGTCTCTACGAGAAGAGTTATAGTAGTTCAGGGTCTATATTGCTGTCTCGTACCATTCTTGCGAACCTTTTTTTATACCCAACGAAAGTATCCGTATTCGCTCCCGATGTTTCAACTGAAGCAGCATCAAGTCAAGTGATTTCCGACCTGTCTCTTGTCTTGCAGGTGACCGCGAGGTGACTCGCAAGCTGAGAGACATAGCCTCCTGGATAGATTCCCAAGGCCTGCGACATGAGGGATGGCTATGATGCATGTCAGGCCATGCACCTGGCTTTCTTGGTTGCCAGGTGTTTACGTTGTCCTGGAGCCGGAGCTATGGGATGAAGTGCAGGGCAGGAGTCCCGGGCTGAAGCCAGAGCCTTCACCGCGCAAAGTCTGCTGGTGTGCTGGCCCCTGTGACTGCCGTAGACTCGTCAGTAAAGTGAAGCGGCAAGAGACGCCCACTGCCACTCCAAAGTGGCAGTGGGGCAGTCCTGATGGGCTTCCGCCCGGCTTTGCCCAGCGCTGTCGCACTTGGACCCCTTACCAGGACAAGTTAGAGGAGCACATTGACTTAGTGATTTCGCTGGGAGGTGACGGAACTCTTTGTTGGACTTCGGGCCTGTTTGCCGGTGCAATGCCGCCAGTTATTGCTTTTGCTGCTGGATCCCTGGGTTTTCTAACTCCTTTCCCGCTTTCCGACTGGATGAGCGTGCTGATGCCCATTCTGGGCTCCAAGAGCGAGGCCGGGCATGAGCAATCCACATTACATAGTAGTTTCCATTTTCTTTTCCATTATTCCGTTATTCCTATATAATCCCTGTATTCCCCCAATATTACTATATAGCCCCTATATTAGTATGTCTTACGGTTGTGATCTTGCCTCAGTTGCTGTGAGGGCGTGTGACAACTCGGCACTGATATAGCAAGGTGGCACCGGCGCTGCAGCTGGTTTGCAGGATGCGGTTCCAGATGCGGCTGTCACGGCACGAGGAGGACCAGCAACCAGCGTTTGGTGTGCTGTGTTTACTGACTTAATTCTTGTGGTAAGAGCAACAATGTAATAGTAGTAATAATAGTAACGACAACAATAGCTGCGACAATTTAATTCTGGAGCTGGCAGGATGATGCAACGACATCACCAGCCATTCCTGTTCAATCCATGAATGAGGCAGGCCAGAGAAGCAGTTCTGGCGACGGCGAATGCAAGCAATTCCATGGTGAGGTGTTAGTGCACAGAGGGGCCTCTCCCCACCTGGTCAAGCTCGATGTGTGTGTCAGAGCCTGACGGCTGTTGGTGCGAGCGAGCCCATACCTGTGACTTTTGTGCTTTCACCGGGGTTCTAGGAGTTCTACACAGCTTCAGGCATAGACCCTGCCCGTCTGAAGGTAAACGACAAGAGCGTGACGATGGTGCAAGGAGATGGCCTCATCATCGCGACGCCCACTGGAAGTACGGCATATTCCCTAGCAGCGGGAGGGTCCATGATGCACCCTGCAGTGCCTGGCATCATCCTTACTCCTGTCTGCCATGCCCTGAGTCTGAACCGCTTGTTCCATGAACGGTGTGTGCTCCGGTGCTTCTGCTATGAGTAAGAAGAGCTGCGCCCTGCTTGAGGTCCACATTCCTTGTCCTTCCGACCAGTGGTGCTGCCCGACAGTGCCGCCTGAGCCTCAGCCAAGGTTCAAACATGAAGAAGGTTCATTGTTCAAAAGGGTTTTATGTGGACTTACCGTACCACCCTCGCACGGACGTGAGCAAATACAGAGTAAGAAGCAATTTACAGGGCACTAGGGATCTTGCAAGGGATCGGTCTGATGCACGCCCGCAAGCATGAAGGGACATCATGTTGCCCTGAGGTTGTCAAAGTGCGAGTGCCCACAAGCGCTCGGACCTCGCGTGTCATGGTGGCCGTTGATGGCAAGGCGTTGAGGGTAGTCTTGCCATGGTTCCGGACGCTTTCATGTTTCTGTGCGAAGCTTGTGGTTTGTTTCCCCAGCATGCAGGATCGCATCGAGCTGAAGCGTGGCGACTCAATAGAGGTTGCAGTTTCACCGTATCCATTGCCGACAATCTGCAGATCCTCCGCCACTTAGCACAACTGCATTCAGTTGCCATCCATGCTTTGTTTCTTCACAGCCCTTGCTTTTCAGGTCACGAAGGACTGGTTCAGATCTGTCAATGAAGCGCTTCAGTGGAACCTGCGGCTAGTGCCTTGCCATATGGTACAGGGTTCTGCTGCCATTTGTTCGGGGAGGTCGTCCAAGGCCTTTGCCCTTTGGGAGCTCAGGAGCAGAAAGCAATCAATAAGAGCTGAGCCGCATCAGATATATTTTGCTGTTGATTCGTTGTAGGATTTATCAGGTGACCCGGTGCATGATGGCAATGGCCAACATGTTCACCTACTCACTTCAAAGCCAGGAGGCGGTAATTTGATTTTCCGTGGAGTTCAGGCTTCACATGTCCAAATGCCGTAGTGTTGGCAGTGCTGGTGGGGGAGAGCTGTTGAGAGCGCCTCATGCAGCTGCTGCTTGTGCTTTTGGGGAATTCAAAAATCTGAAGGTCCTCACATAGTTACTCTTTTGCCATGTTTTCCTGGTGGTCAGGACCTCTAGACTGCATATACGAATTATATTGGGATAATATGGAGAATATTGGGGTTCTATTGGGGTTCTATAGGGATAATAGAAAATAGAATGGAAACTAGCGGGTAAGGATTTGGGCCACAACGCTTTCATCTGGCAGCGTGCTGAACCACATGCTTCTCTGTAGGCTGCCAAATAGATCCAGCCAATCAAATTGCCGCATTCCCAGCCATGAAAAGCCAACATCATGCACAGCGGCTGAGTTGTTTGTCTTTGTCTGAGCTATCTGTGACACTCAGCCTGACTTCCTTATCTTCCTGCAGCAAGCTGGCTGTTAGCCTGATGTGTGACAAGGTTGCCCAGGTTGAAACATGACAGGCTGTTGTGGCTGCATTCAAAGTAAGATGACCAGACTTCAGCGAATGCCTTTATCTTCGATTGCTGATATGGGTTTTGGGATTTGTGTGCGGCTAAACATCGACGTGGTGAGTGCTTTTTCCTGCAAGGTTGGCACCATCTGGCACATAAAGCAATGCAACATGGGTAGGACCAGGACGGCAAGGCCCAACCCATGAGCTCAACCCTTCAGTACTTCAGAGCCTAGCTCTCTCAGACAGTTGAGGCTTTACCCAGTCCAGTATGTGCTTAAAGGGGTCCAATGCTCTAGAGCTTCTGCGCCCTTGCGCGGCCCTTCCCACAATTGCCTGCCATGCTCCGCTCTTCTGAGAGCTATGTGGGTGCTGCTCTTACCTTGACATGAATGTGCATGAAGAGGTTGCTGTGCATATTCGGCAATGCCTCGTACTTCTAAGCCTTTTCGCTGGCAGCTTGTAAGACCTTGCTGATTTCTTCCTTCTCTCTCTTTTTTTTTCCATTTTTTTTTCTCTCTCTCTCTCTCCCTCCGTTCCTCCCTCTTGCTCGCATTCTTCGCATGTTAAAGCTTCCTTACTTGCTGTTTATGCTGAAGGCTCGACGCCTTGGCGTGCCCCATCTTTGGCCGTCTCGGGTGAAGGTGTCGAATGCCAGATTTCCATCTCCCTCCCAGTTGAGCGTGTGTATCACTAAGCTCATGCGCCCGTGATGGAAGAGGTCTTCTTCTTGGCGATTCTAACATCTGTCTTCAACTTCAGTGTGTTCCAATATCTGCACAATGCCTCGGCCTGAATGGCTGCGGTCCGCGTCTGCTGCATGAGCCATAGTCTAAAGTCTGATGGGGGGGTTATACAGGGGACCACTATAGGGTTTTTAAAGGGGGCGACTAGGAGTTTAGACTATGGCTCACATGATGCGAAGCTGGATGCAAAGTCTCCTAGGCCAATGTCGCATACCTGAACTTGTCATCGCCATCTTACAATGAGATCGTGTGCAAGTTGCCTCGGGACACCATGGCCAAAAGGGTCAACTTGTTTCATCCCTTAGATGCAAAGTCTCGTGCTCACGTGACACACGTATGCTTGAGTCTGCAGGAGGAGTGTGCAAGCAATCCCGACCCAGCAAGCTGCACAGTGGACTTGGAGGATCGTCGCTTTTGGCGAGGCCCCTGCACAAATTCATGCCGCTTGGAAGGGGCATTTGCTGAGCACATCGTAGAAGATCTAGCAGCATCTGGAAGCGTTGATTGTTGTCGGCCGGCCTTGCTTGGCTTCAAGCACTCGCATGAAGCGTCCGCATGGCAAGCACTGCAATGGTCTCGGAAGCGCCTGTTTGGCTAAAGAGCCTTCACCGCCTGCGGGTTCTTCTATCCGAAGAATGCGACATCGTCAAGGGTCGCTTGCACAGCATCGTGCTAGTAAGACTTGTGTAGTACGACGTCAATTCGCTGGATGCGCAACATGCAAAAGATCACATGTATTTGGACTTGTTAGCGGTTGTGACTGCATACGTCTTTGGTTCTCAAGGTCTTTTAAGTAGCGATGAGCCAGAGATCGAGATTCCTGACCGCGAAGTCTCTAGCGACAGCGGCCTGCGGCAGAAGCAGTTGAAGCTCGTGCTGGCAGAAATGGGAAAATGCGAGGAAGCACGTGAAGTTGGGCTGCTTGCAGAGTCTGCAGTGGAGTTGGTCAACCTCTACGAGAAGCAGAGCCGTAGCATCCAACTTGACACCTCAGATGCGGGTGACGCATCAAAGGCTGAGCAGTGCAAAGCTCTAGATGCTCAGAAAGCAGCACTTCTGGCAGCGAGAATGGCCTTAAAGGACAGACGCTTGGTGGGTTGTATGGTAGTTTCCCCAAAATATGGGGACCCAGGTATAGACCCCCAAAATACAATAGTCCTTCTTAAAGGACAGACGCTTGGTGTTTGTTGGATAACGTAGACAGGCATGGATTTACGGTCTCTTGAGCAGCAGAATTAGCCATCCAGGCCGGCACTTTGCGCTTGAAATCGCAGGCTCTTTGTTTCTTTATGATCCCTGAGCTTCCGACGCCCAAGACTCATAGTGGGGTTATATAGGGTGATGATAATAGGGGCTCATACAAGGTTATATTGGGGTTATAGGGCAGTTTCCCAAAATAAGGGAACCCCAATATAGACCCCCAAAATACAATAGTCCTTCTTATAGGGACCCCACAAAATGGTACCACTAATTTTGGGAAACCCCCATGTAATGACTAAGGAGAGTGGGCTCTGGTTGAAGCCAAGCATCGCGCCCAGCAGCTGGAGGAGGAGCGTTTGCAGCAGGAGCCGAACCGTGGGCCTGTGTTTCCATGATGTCCCAGTTTCGCGTGCCCATATAGGCTTATGTAGGGTTATTTAGGTTTATATAGGGCTACATAGGATTATATAGGGCTATATAGGGTTAGATAGGGCTATACAGGTTTACGCAGGGTTTAGGGTACAGGGATATGAGCCCTCAGTAATAGAGAATGAAATAGAAAAGAACATGGACAATGAACTGGAAATTGTGGTTTTGTGGTGGTTTATAGATGCAAAAGGGCCCTCAACTTTCAGGTTTGTTGGCCAGACCGTATCCCAAAGGCTCCGCTCTTGAAATGTGGGCCTGTGAGAGCAGTGCAGATCCTAGAGCCTCCACTTGATCTGCCATGATCTGCCGTGCTCTGCCCCAGCAGACTGAAGTAAGAACTGCCCCAGCGGTCCCAGCCTCCAGCACCGCCGACAAACGTGACACCACATAAGTGACGGTTCGTGTCGGATACACTTCATTCAAATAGGTGACACTATCTGTCGCAGCGGTAGGACTACCGCATTCGGGCCTTGCAGACAGCGCTTGACAAGGCGTTGTCCTCGAGGAGTGTTCTCGAAAATTTCCTCTGCTACACTCCATCACTTTCCGCTGCAGGACAGAGGCCGAGAAACGCCACCTAGAAGCTTATTCCACAGCCGATGCTGAGGTAGGGACGGCAAGCCAGCAGTGGCACTGGCTCTGCTTGAACTTGAAACCCTAAACCCCACATGACCCCCATGTAACCCCTATAAAACCCCTATACATCCCTTATGTGGCTCCTATATAACCCCTAAACAACTGCTATATAACCCCTCGAAATCCTCTTCTCGTGGGCAGGCCGCGGAGCAGAGGGGCGAGCTGAGGAAGCGGCTTTCGGACGCCGAGGTCGCAAGAGATCAGGCGCGGGCCGAAACCCAATAACAGTAATACCAATAATATTAGGAATCATAGCAATAATAGTACTACTAGGAATAATAGTAGTAACAGTAATTATAATGATGTTCGTAATAATAGCATGGGAATAACAATTGCAAACGCTATGGCGCGCCCGCCTCGGCTGTTGGGTGCACAGAAAGCACTGCTCACTCATATGCGGGGCCTGTAGCGGAGCGGGGGGTGCACGTAAGCCCTGAACCCTTCACCCGATGTATCCCAACATTGGTATGGAGCGACCCCGCTGGAAGTCTATGCATACATCCTAATTCGGTAACGACATCGCATCAAGGAGGGCGAGGTCGGGTTATCGGGAGGGGGAGGGGGGGAGGGGGCTACAAGCACCAACTTAGACCTGGCACCTGGATGTTTGAAGTAGGGGAGTCGGACCGGGGGTGACAAATTCAAGCCGGTGTGCTGTAGTCAAGATAGGCGCGGAAAAAAAGACATGGATCAAGTATTCATGGTTGAAAGTTTGGGGTGCAACATGTAGGGCTCGAAGCATGTTTCAGTTTCTGGGTTTCCAAATCACGTGTCTGATCCTTACCCTAAACTCTTAACCAATGTCGCAGCATGTCGTTGACCATGCTTATGCACCGGAAACAAATAGACGGCACGTTCATGCTTCGCAGATGTGGAAAAAAGACCGCCAAGGCGCATGCCCAGCGCCGCCGCAACGAAAAGCTGGCAGCTTCGGCCAAAGCCAAAGAACAGGACAAGGAAAAAAATGCGTCGCCGCAAAACGAGCTATGGACTCCTTTGGGCTGCAAGCTGTGAGGCTATAGCCCAGTCTGAGTGTTGAAGATCGTGTTTTGTTCAGAGAAAATGTCTTGTTCAGGAAAACGTGCGGAAATCATCGGGACTGCCTGATTTGCCAAAGGGAAGAAAGGACCTCGGAACGTCTGAGCTTGAAAAGATGCATGTTCTGAACCCCATATATCCCAGCAGAAAGCTATCATCCGCATTCATGGGGCGGCCTATGCCAAAGAACAGCTGGAAAGCAAGCCAAAGCAAATTTGCTCAGGGGGAGCCCAAGCCCTGTGCACGTAAACCTATATATCGCAACAGTCTTCTATGAACAATCGCGGAGGGGGGGTACAAGAAGGAGGGGAGGGGTCGCCACTGACTGGATGGGTCTGCAAAGGGTTTAGGGTTTAGGGTTTAGGGTAGAGGAGGTTTTAAGAGGGTTCCAGACGCCCTGAGGCTGGATAGCCTCGGCGAATAATGATAACATCTCCTGGCTTTTTGTCTTCTTTGCTTCCAAGCGCGAAGTGATGTTGTCTTTGTAGCCAGCTGTGTAGTTGATGAAGCTTTGACAGAATTTCTACTACTCTTACTATTGGTAATATTTCTATTATTACTCCTATCATTATTGCAACGAATATTACTATTTTTAAGATATGGTTACTAGTACTAACATTGTTACCATTATCAATGTTCTTACTACTGTTACTATTTTTACTAATATAAGTTCAAGTGACGACTGCCCGCGAGGCCATGGCTGATCTCGCTGCTGTGGAGGAGCGCATCGAGGAAGCACGGCGAGTGGCGGATCGCCGTGAAGAGGCGCCTCTGCGCTTATGGTCGATTTAGGGGTTTAGGGTTTGGGATGGTTTGGGGTTTATCTCAACCTTGGTTAGCTGAGAATAAAAACATGACATGGAAACTACTATAATGGGGTATATAGGGACGACTACAAGGATCCATTACTTCATTGCTAGCTAACCAACGGTAAGTTACTGTCGATTTAGTGGTTAAGACGAGGTCGTCAGGAGTGTGCAAGGTGTACACCAATCAGATAGCTCAATGTCTCCCGCCAAGCACCATGGCAAAAGCCTTTCATCTGAAATGTCGACATGCTCGCAGGACTTGCTTTCCCAGCTCGCTGCGCAGGAAGCGCAGCTGCAGGACTTTCAAAGCAAAACGCTCTAAACATGTTATGCAGCGTTTCGGTTTGGAGCGTGCCTTGCAGAGGAACTCCAGAGCAAGCTCGACAGTCGCGAGGCTCGTTCGTCGCCAGAAGCGCCAAGCGAGGCAGGTCCTTGTCCTGAATTAGGATCTGCAGTGTATGATCCCTATAATATAGTAGTTTCCATTTTCTTTTCCATTATCCCCATATAACCCCAATATATAACATTATATAACCCTGTATCTCAAAAAAGGTAAGAAGCTACATGGCATGGATGTCCTGAAGGCGAAATCCTCGGAAACGTTTCCGCCAGCGCGGCCTAGTTTTCGTCTTCAGGGAATGCCCAGCGGAGGCCTGGGCTGCCCGACTACCAGCAATCAAAACTCTGGCTGCTGTCACACGAGGCCTCACTGAAGAGTCGCACATCCAGGGTGTAGGCATGGTGATGGCGACCCCACGCTTGCACTACAATCCGCCGAGCGCACCTCGAGCACCAAAGCCACCTCCAACCGAGACGAGGCCCTGTTCTCTTCCTGTCGAAAGTCAGTGAGCTCCCCGCAAATCCTGCGCCGCAGGCAATCCAAAAAATCTGCAACCGCAGCGCTGCCAATGGATCTCAAGTCCCTAGGCGGGATGCGGAATGTTACTCCTTCCTCCGTTGTGTTTTGCCTCGGTTCTATGACTTGGACTCGGGACAGGAAAGCTGCTCAGCGGAGGCGGCATGCTGGGAAAGTAGACAAAGACGGCGGCAAGCGCCGATGACATTCAGCTGCAAGCTCAGCATGGCTGATCTATGCTGACATGCTAGATACTGTGTGCCAGGGGCAAGTATGTGCAGTGCTTGCTAGTTGATGCCAGTGAGGCAGCACAGAACAGCGTTGGCAATGTCCTGCTCGTTCACCGCTTGATCTCGCATGCGTTGATTTTCCATTTTTGCCGGATGCGCAGAATCGCTCTAGCTCGGCAGCGCCAGAATTCACTTGTTGACCAGCCGCCCTCAGCCAACAACCCTTTCCCTTACAGCTGCTCTTATTTTTTCTTGCTAGTGCGCGTCTGCCTCTACTTGGCTCAAAGAAGCTGGGCTTACTGGGCTGGCTCGGGCTGGTATCATCTACCCTGGGCATCGGGGCGACCAAAGACGTTGCAGGCCAAGGATCCTAGCCCGCAAACCTGGCCTTCCTCCCAAGCGAGATCGAAAGGGAGGCAAGAATTTGGACGAGAGGGGCAGGGGTCTGGCTGCTAAAGCTGGCTAGTCGATCACACTTTCCAAGCTGGCAGAGTGAAGCGGAAAGGAGGGAAGATCGTTTGCGTGTCGCCCCCCTTCAGGTCGAGGGGTGGTGCCTTGAGTTACAGGCACTGCCCCCACACGCCAAGGGGATAATGTATGAGTCTGTGCAGCCTCAAGGGAATAAGCTGAGCTTTGCTTTTTCCCTTAGTTTCGCTGCCGGTGCGTGTGTGCGTGTCTGTTTGGTACGACCACCCCATGCCCCATCTCTGAAACGGTGCCCCCAGCCTAGTACCCTCGTGAGGGATCACAGGGGGAAGAGCTTGTGTTCCCGAGAAGTGGGCTGTCTTGCCAAATGCCCAAATCCAACCCAAGCTCAGCTTGGGGGGGCGGGCCCATGGAGGTTCGGGTGGCACCTTCCCTTCTCAGATTGAGGGGCCCCCAATG